AAAGGTCCCCGGGACCAGTACCTCCGACAGTGCAGGTCATACCACCGCAGGCAGAGCCGAATCAAAGGTACCCCGCATCGTGCCGTGGCTACCCATACCCAGGCTTCTGGAAACAACCCCGGCCAGCCTGCAAAAAAATCATCCCTCAAAGTAACCAGGCATATAGGCCGTAGCAAAATCACCCCATAACCGAGACCAGGCCAAAAAAGAACACTCGGCACCCTATCATACACCAGGCAGCGTCGAACCATCAGACCAGGGGTGCGCCGCGGCGAACCATACCCAGCCCTTTGAAAAAGGAGGTCATCCCCCAAAGTAGCCAGGCATAAAGGCACTAGCCAAATCACCCCGTAACCGAGACAAAGCCAAAAAGACTACTATTAGATCAGGGGCGCGTCGTGGCTATCCATACCCAGCCCTTTGAAAAAATCGGCCAACCTTCAGAAAAAGGGGGGGTCATACCCGAAGATTGCACGCGTCTATGCTACTTCAAAAAAAGCCCAAACCAGGGCTACACCAAAAAAAAAAAGAGACCCGGTAAGGGGTACGTTGCAGAAAAAGACCACAACACCCCTTTTAACCACTTCTTAACAGGAGCCCAAGCGGCCAACAATCAAACCTTCTGGAGATGAGATCTTAGCAGCGAACCTCAAAAAAACCCTCCGAACCAACTTGCCCGGGTAACCGCGCATCAATATCGACCTCATGATGTGGTGGCGCATGAGCTGGTCGATGTCAGGTTGAGAGGATGAGCGTGCTCTGTCTTCCTCGAATGTCCTCTGTGGTTACGGCGGATGCGGCGTGCTCGGTACCAGCCATGATGCCAGTGAGCGCTGTGGTACTCGGATTCTGAAGACTCTGGCCTTGTCGATCGTACAGATCTGTCGTCTTGTTTGTCCTTGTGGCGTGTGTTCTTTCTGTGTTCCGTCTGCCTGGTTGCCGGTGCAGGTTCTTTGAGATGAAGATCGTGCATCTGCGACGGTTTCACAGATCTGCTCTCGACCTGCGTCATGTTTGAGCGAGATGTCACTCGTCGACTCGTGCTTCTACTCCTTTTCGTTATGGCAGGGCTACCTTTTGTTGTGAAGGTTGGGGTGCGGATGGGCGTTCGATAGATACTATATAAGATGGCAAAGCAATGGATTGGCCATCTGCGCTGAGAGGGTGTAATGGCAGGATTCTCCTTTCTCCTTTCCTTCGCAAACCTCCTGATGAGACTACTGGCGGAGTAGTCGAAACGCGAAGAGGTGTTGCCGCTTTTTTCGAGAAGGAAAGCTACTTTGGCGATGCTTATCGGTGCCGTGAATTTTGGATCCTGTGTCTGCTATTGTTGGTTACTTGGCTTGTTAAGAGCGTGCGTAATGGAATGCATACCTAGGTGTATTCTTCACTTCCATTCTCATGCTTGTCGCTGTTTTGCCGAACAGCTTTTCAATTCAACACTTGGGTTGCAGACAAAAGGGACGTGTCTCTCTAAACACAAACAAAAAAATGGACGTGTAAAATAAGGAGCGATCTCCTGCTCACCCTATGGGCCTAGGCCCATCTGCCAAAATTTTAAATGCGTCTGGAGTCCAGTAGGGAGGTGAGTGGTGCAACTAGCCCCTACGCGAGTGAGCCCGACTCCTTTTGGAAGAATTTTGTCTGGGGCCTAATAAAGCACGGGGCAATCCATGCCATGCAATTACGAGCATTCACAGCCCACGTGTGAAAGACTCCCGGAATGCGTGGGCTCGTAATTCTCGTGCGTGCTTACGGGAGATCCGGGCTTCTTGATCAAGCTACAGAAACACTGCAACTATCGCCTGTGTGTGACCATCTTTCAAGCCTGGCATCCTCTTGGTTGGCATTCATTCTGTTCTGCMCCCCCCCCCCCCTCTTATGGGTCACTTGGCCAATCCCTTCGTTGACTGATTTACAGGTTGCCAAGCACGCTCGGTTGTTCTTATTACGGTGGAATGCCAGCATTGCTGTCCCGCTGCAACATGACTTGATTCCTGCAGTCCAGAACCCTGCCAAACACCAAACAGAAGACCAAAGTCCAAAACTGAGCGAAAAAAAAGAGACCTCTTTCTGATTTATTAAACTGGAGATCTCCACTCGTATGCCGTGTCTCCATAATTATTCTTCATCTCCAAAACTCACTGGATATCAGTTTGAAATCGATCAAACGATCTAATGGTATTCATTACCTCGAGTGATTTATGTTTCCCTTTCCGGTGTTCTCTTCTCCTTGCTATCCAATCCTTTCATCTTTAGGTTTTTGAATTGCTTTAGTACGTGCAGACACTGGACACTTGCTTTCATTTGCACTCATGGAGCCTGGTTTCTCGGCCGTTCGGAATTGTGTGCGGAGCAGCGGAAGTGCGTATTCCTTCCTCCCCAAAGGACATCCTGGCATTTGTCTTGCATCGAGGTTTTCCCATTATGGATCGGGCACTGGTCATACAAAAGGCAGACGGAGAAGTTCTCCCCGGAAAATAAAGTGTTTCCACATACCATCGTCTTGTTGACAAAGAAAAAAGGGGAAAACGTAAACAGGAAAGAGAGTTAAACCACCAGTACTTGGCCCTGCTATCGGCCGCGGGAAAAAATAGAGTAGAAACATTTCTAGTGGGTCCAAGTCGGATGAATCTGGGTGCTTCTGTAGTGGCCCGTACTTTTCCCAAAATTGTGGCTTGTTAACGGGCACAACTTTAGAAAGTACTGGGGGCTTAACAAACACATGGCTATTACGTGTATCGAAGGACCGACGAAGGCATGATGACAATGTAGCTACACGCACGCAAAAAAAGTGCAGTAGAGCAAAATGGAAACTGAAAAGAAAAGAAATGAGAGAGAGAGAGAGAGAGAGAGAGAGAGAGAGAGAGAGAGAGAGAGAGAGAGAGAGAGAGAGAGAGAGAGAGAGAGAAAATGATGGCTATGAGAAGATTAGTGAATGGCTTGAAAGCATATTCGAGGTGCATCACGTGCGCGCAAGTTGCGCAAGTGTGAAAGGGTAGGCCATGGTACCAATGAGTGTCCCTACCTCTTAAAAATTGCACGTGCACAGAAGGAGAACATTTTGAGGCCTCTCGGTACTACTCATAGATAATATTCTCCTTTCCAAAGGATACCCTGCTGACAGTAAACAGGGATTTCAATCGGTTGGAAGGGCGTTCTCTGCACTGGTGGAAGAACATGAACAGGCCAGCAATGCATTCTGGATTCGGATTCAGGTCTGTGTTCCAAGAGTTATGGGTTACGAACTTACTAGAAACATTACAGTAGCTGTGACAGTCTCGTTTTTTCGTTTTTCCTTTTCTTACGTTTAGTGGCCCTAAGGGCCTCGCTCCACTCAACAGCAGCCGAGTTAGTAAGTAACCAACCCAAAACGTATGGCGTGTATGGTTCAAGTTTCTAGTCGAAGATTCATTCTAGTTTTGCACATTTGGTGACTAGTCGAGAGAAGCCCTGAAAATCACATGCCGAGTTAGTAAGTAACCAACCCATAACTGCTGAAGCAAGGACCTGAATTGGAAGCTACACCATAAATAGTTGTCCTGCTCCCTGCTTATTTCAAGTGCTGTGATGATCTGCCCAATAACCACCCTTCTCCTGCTGAGGGGACCCTTGCCAATTTTTGGCAAGGACCTCTTGGAGTACCGGCAGGGGTTGTCTGAATGGCGTGAAACTGTGAAACCGCGCGCTGAGCTCCACTCAATCCCTCGCTCAACAGCGCTTGAGCGGGGTTTGAGCGGGAGTATTTTTTCCCCCGGGAACAAAATAAGCAAAAGCAAAAACAAAAAATACAACCTTGTATTATTTTATTTTATTTTTTGAAGTATTTCTGTATTAAAAAAAATCAAAAACATAAACGAAAGAAAAAAAGAAAAAAAAAACAACATGAAATCGGTGGGTTTTTCTTTTTTTCAACAGAGATTTTTTTGCAGGCAAAAATTTAACAAAAATAATAATAAAACATACAGTCTTGCAGATATTTGTGCTCTGTTCTTTCTCTCTCTCTCTCTCTCTCTCTCTCTCTCTCTCTCTCTCTCTCTCTCTCTCTGTGTGCAGCGTGTATACACACATCATTGCTTTTCTTTTTTTTCTTTTTGCTCCCGCGTGCGCGCAGCTGTCACTAGCGCGCAGCGCAGTGCGAAGGCATCTAAATTCCCGAACAAATTTGAGGGAGGACGAATCATGCAATCCTTGTCACTGAATAACGTATTGGGTAAGTCTGAAAAATGGCGCGTCACGGTAGTTTCACAGCAACATTATTTGCGGGACCCAAGTTTCCTTGCAAAAGAAAATATCTTGCTTTGCACCGAGCTCACGACAGCAGCTATGGAAGACAATTCGATTTTCAGCGGGAAGGAGGTATGCACGAAGCCACTGGAACAGCAAATCGAAAGGATAGATAGGTAAAAGAGTAGACATGAAGCCAAGGTTGTAATGAGCGAAACACATAGATTAAGCACACACAGAGAACGATATGAGTTCACCAAGCTCATTTAGGTGAAGGAGGTTAGAAAACATTGTTAACACATCACCATCTTCATGGATAACAATACTGAAATTCCTGACACACACAGAGAGAGAGAGAGAGA